TCTGCCACCCACATAACCTCACCTTGTGACATTCAGGGTATTCCCAGCACGCTGCAGCTCTTGGAGACACCCAAAGAGACCTCTGAGCACTTACAGCCGCTTGTTCCGTGAGTCCTCTCTCGATGGCAGCTCAGCCCAGCCAGATGATGGCTTTGGAAACTAAATAACCGAGCTCCCCTGGAAGCTTCTAAGCCATTTCTCTGGGACAGAGATACCACATCACCCACCATGGTATGAGCCAGCCAAAATCAGTCACCTGCCAGCAAGGGCTGGCAAAGTTCTCTTCAAAACCAGCTGTAACCGTTGCTGAAAGGTCACAGTGTCACTGCAGAAATATTTTATTTTCTTGTTTTGGGTATGATGTGGGCTTGCTCACCTTCATTCCCTCTGTAGTAAACTCACACCTGGATTATTTATGTTACACTTTCTYCCAACATGCCAGTAGCCAAGACCAGACTATAATGTGGGTTTAAATCCTATCTATTTAATCCCAAGTCACTGCTGGACTGTGGTGTGGGTTGTTTTCTTTCAGTAACAGAATAAAATTACTCTCCATTTTTTAATTCCACACTATGCTATTAATTGCTGCTGTTTCTGGAGAAGGAAATGTATCGTGTTCAAAGTAACGAATGATCTTTATGCTGTTGAGTTTAAATATGGAATATGATTTCTCAAGTCCCAGTGCCCTACTATATATATTAATTTAATCTCTCGTTACCAGCCAGCTCTAGGTAATTAGTCTGCAGTGCAAGGAATCTGTGGGAAGTAACTGAAAGAATCAAGTCTGGTTTTCTCAGAAATGCATCCTGGTGCATGGCTAGAGACCACTGAGGGGTCTGTGGGTTGGGCAGTCTGAAAGTCCATGGCTGAGGGTTTAGGCACTGGAGTTTAGAAAATGATGGGAGGATTCAGTGCATAATATTTGAATTATGAAGCGTGTATTAAATTGGGTGGTTGTGCTTCATGAATGGTAATGGTTCAGATTTTCAGGAAAAAATTAATATTGTCCCRAAACAAGCTGTGGTTGGGGAACATGAAAGCATGACAATGCAGCAGGGGCTCGGCAAAATATAATCATCAGAGGTGGTTGTATTAATTTGATTTTCAAAACGATCAAACATATTTAAAAAAACATTTTTAGGATGATTTGATGCTATCTTAAAAATGCCAAATAAAAATCATCTAAAAAGCATTAATTTGGTTACTAAGCAGTTCACCAGACAATATTTGCATATATAAGCAGCTTTTACTGTGCTGAGTAACCCTGCTTGTTCAGTAGAACTGCTCATACGAGCTGAGGTTATTTCTGTGCAGTTAGAGTGAGACATGGGCTGCTGCTGCTCTTAGAGTTTGTCTGGGTGAGTAAAGCAGTGGTGTTGGGTGGGATTTTCAATGTATTGTACTTATTACAGGCAAAGATTAAACAAGGGTRGTTGAGATCAGTAACAGATGCAATATCTACAGTTTGAATACCCTGAAAGTTTGTCCGTGTCTGGTGACGAGATTTAGGGCTATAAAAAGCCATAAAACCTTCCTGGTGTTCCTGAAGGCACCTTCTAACCAGCCATAAAAACTTCCTGGTGTTACTGGAGGCACCTTCTAACCAGCCATAAAACCTTCCTGGTGTTACTGGAGGCACCTTCTAACCAGCCATAAAAACTTCCTGGTGTTCCTTCTAACCAGCTCTTCTGGTGATCCTGGAAGGTGCAAGGCCACACTCAGAGCTTGGGATCAGTGTCAGCAAAGGGATGTGTGCTCCTGACACCTGACAGAGTCCCACCAAGCTGATTTAGAAAGAGATTTTACAGAAAAGCTGTGCAGTACCTGAGGAACAGAAAATGCTGTGGGAGTGGGCTGAGTTCGAGGTACATCCTGCACAGTGCTTGCTGCTGCATCTCAGARGGCCCGAGCTCTGGAAATGAAACTGAGCTGCAGTCTGGGAAATGTGAGGATCTGAGTTAAAAAGGCACTTGGAAAACATGCTCAGATTTGGGTGAGAGAATGTGCCTGTCTGAAATCTAAAGCTGCAGCTCTTGGGCAGAAGAGCTGCTTGCCTTCAGTCAGAATTTCTCTGCCTCTGTTAGTGACTGCACATTGAAATAAGGTTTATTAATATGTGGGGAGTTCTTGTGTCTGTGAAAGAGACTTCTGAGATCACACTGCTCTGCCAGGTACCAGCCAGGCAGGATGATAATTGAATTTTAAGGCTACAAATCATACTAAATGTTGTATTTTCATTTCTGAGTGCTGCTGCTGAGAAAATCCCAAAGGGAAGTCCCGGGCTAAGGATGCTGCACATCATTTCATTCCTAAGATGGCAATGTTCCCTGGGTACAACAGACATACCTTAGCACTCACTTCAGATTAATGACTTGGCTGGCTCATGGTCCAACATAAACCAGTTAAACTGAGAAGATTCAAATCATTTGGGGAAGAGCTGCTGTTCTGTCCCTCTCATGCTGTCAGTATGTGACACGAATGTCAGTCATAAACCTGAAGGTAAAGGGAGAATGATTACCAAGGGAAACTAAGAAGGTGAAATAATCTCAGGGTTCAAAGAATAGAACTGCACCAAGTGTTTYCTGGCATTGAACAAATCTGGAGAAATTTTTCAATGTTTACTCATTTTGCATGTATGAAA